TAACCGGTTGAAACCCCGTCCTACTAAAAAATACAAAAAACTAGCTGGGCAGGTGGGCGGTGCCCTGTAGTCCCAGCTACTCGGGAGGCTGAGGCAGGAAATGGCGTGAACCCTAGAAGAGGAGCTTGCAGTGAGCTGAGGATCCGGCCCACTGCACTCCAGCCTGGGTGACAGAGCAGAGACTCCATCTCAAAAAAAAAAAAAAAAAAAAAAAAAAAGAAATTTAAATCTACAAGGAAAACCAGAAATAATCTCATTAAAAAGTGGTCAAAGGACATGGTCATTTCTCAAAAGACATAAAAGCAGCCAAGAAACGTGAAAAAATGAGACAAAAAGGAGGAAAAAGAAGGGACAAAACAGCAACGAAAATCAAAAACATCAATAAAATGGCAATGGTAACCTTCTTCTATCAGAAAATTAAATATTCATGGAATAAACTTCCCAATCCAAAAGACATAAATTGCCAGGATGGTCTCGATCTCCTGACCTCGTGATCCGCCCGTCTCAGCCTCCCAAAGTGCTGGGATTACAGGCTTGAGCCACCACGCCCGGCCAGATTTAAATTTCTTATAGATTGTGAACATTAGTCCCTTGTCAAATTCATAGTCTACAAATACTTTCTCCCAGTAGGTTGTCTGTTAGTCTATTGATAGTTTGTCATTTTTGATTGTGCTTATTTGGATCTTTTTTTTTTTCTTTGTTAACTTAGCTAGTGATCTAGTGATCTTGTTTATCTTTTAGAAAAACTTATTTTATTGATTATTTGAATGGTTTTCTTGGTTTCAGTATTTTTTTGTTCTGCTCTGATTTGAATTATTTCTTTTCTTCTTCTAGCTTTGGATTTACTTTGTTGTTTTTCTGATTTCTTTATACAAGGTATCACGTTGTTAACTTGAGATCTTTCTATCTTCTTGATATAAAAGTTTAGCACTATAAACCCTCCTCACACTGCTTTTGCCACATTCCAAGGTTTTGTTACATTTTGTCACTTTTTTTTTTTTTTTTTTTTTTGAGATGGAGTCTCACTCTGTCACCCAGGCTGGAGTGCAGTGGCGCTATTTCCCACTCACTGCAACCTCTGCCTCCTGGGTTCAAGTGATTCTCCTGCCTCACTCTCCCAGGTGGCTGGGATTACAGGCACCTGCTACCACGCCCAGCTAATTTCTTGTACTTTTAGTAGAGATGGGGTTTCACTATGTTGGCCAGGCTGGTCTTGAACCCCTGATCTCGTGATCTGCCCACCTCGGCCTCCCAAAGTGCTGGGATTACAGGTGTGAGCCACCGCACCCAGCCTCGTCACCATTTTTATTTGTTTCAAATAAGTTTCTGATTTCTGCCTTAATTTCATTGTTTCCCCAAAAGTCATTCCGGAACAAGTTGTTTTGTTTTCTGTATTTGTGTAGTTTTGAGGGTTCCTCTTGCTATTGAGTTTTGAGTTTATTTCACTCTGTTTCAAGAAGATGATTTCAATTTTTCTGGGTTTTTGAAATTTGTTTTGTGACTGAGCATGTGGTCAATCTTAAAGTATGTTCTGTGCACAGATGAGAATGTATGTATGTGTTCATTAGATGAATTATTCTGTAGATGTCTGTGAGGTCCAGTTGGTCAAGTGCTGAGTTTAAGTCCAGAATTTCTTTGTTAGGTTTTTGCCCTGATGATCTGTAATGCTATCTGTAAGGTGTTGTCTTCCACTATGGCTGGCTAAGTCTTTTTTTTTAGGTCCAGTAATAATTGCTTTATAAACCTGGGTGTGCCAATGTTGGGTGCATACATATTTAGGATAATTAAGTATTATTGATTTATCTATTTATTTATTGAATCCTTTATTAGTATGTAATGTGTTTGTCTTTTTTACTATTGTTGGTTTAAAATCTGTTTTATTAATATAAGAATAGTGACCACTGCATTTTTTTGTTTGTTGGTTTTTTTCCCATTTGTGTGATAGATGTTACTTTTTCCCTTTACTTTGAGTTTATGGGTGTCATTATATGTGAGATGAGTTTTTTAAAGCCAGCAGAAGGTTAAGTCTTATTTTTTTAAATCTGATTTGCCACTTTGTGTCATTTTCGTTTTAATTTTTAGAATTTTTAAATTTTTTTTTTTGGAGACAGAGTCTCACTCTGTCACCCAGGGTGGAGTGCAGGCATGATCTCAGCTTCCTGAAACCTCTGCCTCCCGGTTTCAAGTGATTCCCTTGCCTCAGCCTCCCGAGTAGCTGGGATTACAGGCACGTGCCACCACTACGGGCTAATTTTTGTATTTTTAGTAGGGACGCGGTTTTACCATGTTGGCCAGGCTGGTCTCAAACTCCTGACCTCAGGTGATTCACCTGTCTCAGCCTCCCAAAGTGCTGGGATTACAGGCACGAGCCACCATGCCTGGCCACCACTTCGTGTCTTTTAAGTGGAGCATTTAGACTGCTGTGTTCAAGGTTAATATTGATATCTTAGTTTTTGTTCGCTTCATGTGCTCTGTAGTCTTGATTGTGCAGTTGCTTTGTAGGGTCTGTGGGCTATGTACGCATGTGTGTTTTTGTGGTAGTAGGTATCATTCTTCCATTTCCATGTTTAGAACACTCTTAAGCACCTTGTGATGCCAGTTGAGTGGTAGTTAATTCACTTAGTGATTGCTTGTGAATTCTTTGCTTATGAAACTTAGTTTGCTGGAACATAAAATTCCTGACTGGAATTTCTTTCTTTTTTTTAATCTTTTTTGTTGTTGTTGTTGTTGTTGTTGTTGTTGTTGTTGTTGAAATGGAGTTTCACTCTGTGGCCCAGCCTGGAGTGCAGTGGTGCAATCTCAGCTCACTACAACCTCCACCTCTGGGGCTCAAGCAATTCTTATGCCTCAGCCTCCTCAGTAGCTGGGACTACGGGTGAGCGCTACCATACCCGGCTAATTTTTTATATTTAATAGAGGCAGGCAGCTAACTTTTTGTGTTTAATAGAGGCCGGCTTTCACCATGTTCCCCAGAGTGGTCTCGAACTCCTGAGCTCAGGTTATCTACCCACCTTGGCCTCCCAAAGTGCTGAGATTACAAGCATGAGCACTGCACCTGCCCTCTTTCTTTAAAAATGTTGAAAACAGACCCCCCAATATCTTCCAGATTGTAAGGTTTCTGTGAGGAAGTCCACTGTTTGATAGCATTCATTTTTTAGGTAATATGACCCTTTTCTCTAGTTGCCTTTTGTTTTTTTATTTCATGTTGACCTTGGAAAGTCTGAATACTATGTGTATAGTATTCAGATACTATACTTATACTTAGGGATGGTTGTCTTGTATAGTATCTCAAAGGAGTTCCTTGAATTTCTTGTATCTTTATGTCAACCTGTCTAGCAAGATGGGAAAATATTTCATAGATTATATCCTTAAGTATGTTTTCCAAGTTGGTTAGTTTTTTTTCCTTCTCTCTCAGGTATACTAATGAATCATAAGTTTGACCCCTTTACATAATTCCGTATCTCTCAGAAGCTGTGTTTGTTTGTAGTGAATTCTTTTTTCTTTACTGTCTTCTGACTGGGTTGATATAAAGGAGCAGTCTCTGAGCTCTGAAATACTTTCGTCTGCTTCATCTATTCTGTTTTTAAGGCTTTGCATTGTATTTTGAAAGTCCCGTAGTAAAATTTACAATTTTTAAAGTTGTGTTTGGTTCTTTCAAAGGAACTAATGAGATCCCTTTGAGGTTGTGAAACACTCTGGCGTTCTATATTGCCAGCGTTCTTTTGCTGTCTCGTCTGAGGGAGCTGGTGCTTCTTTTGCTTTTGAATTTTCTGTGATTTGGATGGGGCTTGAAAATGTTTTTTAATTCTTTTTTTTCCTTGAGGTTTTGGCTGTGGTGTATGTTGTGTGTAATCAGTTGGTGTCATTTAAGGTTGTTTTCAGAGGCAGAGGCTCTGTCTAGGTCCCTGGGTTGTAGATAAGTTCCTGCAGTGGATTTCATAGAGTGCTTCGTGTTGAAGCAATGGATTCTTGTTTGTGGTGGAATTCAGGCTTCAGTCCAAGTACATGGCGCTTAAGAGTGTTCTGGGGAGGGAAGATCGTGTGTGAGAAATTATTTTCTCTCCAAATTTATTTTGGGGCCTTGGTGATATTCCCTTCAACTGCTGGCATTGCACCCATTTCCTTTGCTTCAAGGAGGGCTTTGGTGGTCTGTGCTCCCCCCTCCCTTAGGGACAGTTCACACTTTTAGGTCACCAGGAGACCCGTATTTATATCAGGGGTCCTGCTGTTCTCCTTTGCTTGCAAAAGTAAGGGTGGGTTTTGGAATGTTTCTGTGAGTCGTTTGGTGATGCAGCGGCTCGAGGATGGAAAATTACCAGGCAGGGCAATTGCACCATGGGTTTGCAACCAGTGTTGCACCTGCAGCCCAGGATTTTTAGTCCAGCGGATGGCTGTGGGGCCCACCCAGTTTGTGGTCCCTCAACTCAGCAGGTCTGTCTCCAGTGTCTTCCCTGGGAGCAGGCTGAATTGGCGAGGCTTGTCCCAAGCCATCTGCATTGAAGTGGCTGAGCTCTTCCAGATGTTCTAGGCTGCTAGGCTTCCTGGGATATAAACCATGGCTGGTCATCTGGCCACACCCTTCCCAGTTTATTCATGTGAATGAAGGGGAAGCCAGCTCCCATGCTGGTTCATGTTCCCATGTCACACTCTTCTCTGTGTGCTGACAGTGTGGGCTTCTACCCCACTTAAGCTCAGACCACATATATCAGCTGAATATTATTAGTCAGTGTGCGGAAGACCTGGGCAGCTGGCACTGGGCCCATGGATTTGTCCTCTGGCCCTTTGGGGTCAAGCACCATCTGTGATGTAAGTGGATGCTGTGCTGTGGGCACCCTTCTGCAGGAGCAGCCAGATTCATGGTGCATGGATCAGATTCACCTCAGTCCCATGACAGCTACAATCCTGCTCCCTCTCAGCCTGGCAGAGAGCAGGAGATGGATCCCCTCAGTGCAAGATGCAGAGCCTCGGAGGATGGGCACCTATGGTCAGCTACAGCTGCACAGCACAGTGAAAACTTCAGATTTCCACAAGAGTTTAAGCTGTGCCTCTGCCTATTCTCCAGGTGGCTCCCCCTGCCAGTTCACAGACGTATAGGGATCATATGAGATCCTATAATCAGGAGCTCAGGCTAGATTTAGCTGGGAAATGCCTTTCAAGGAGAAGGAACCAAAGTGAGAATCTCAGAGGTCCATGGCTAGACTGTGTTGCCATGGGATTTCTTCACATATCCCTTCCTTAAGTCTGGTCTGGATCTAGGAGCCAGTCCTGGTGCCCAGTGACTTTGAGCAAGCTTTCCATCTTCCTCTTCAGCCACAGTGTCTGCATTTCTTCTGAATTAAGCTTTCTCTCAAAAGATCTGTTTAGAGTGTGATGTTTTACTCAACATTTTGTTTTCTGTCCTTGGAGTGAGTGTTTCCCAGCTGCATCTAGTAAGTCATCCTGTCCTTTTCTTAATTTTCTATGTTAGCTTTGTAAAGTATGTGTATCTGACTCTGAAAATAACAAGTGGGATATTTTGTTAATTTTATATTTCAGCTGTGTCTTCTCATTGCACTGAAGACTTTTTGCCAGAACAGGGCATGAAAGATTCATTCCAAAAGGTGATACTGAGAAGATATGGAAGCTGTGGACTTGAGGATTTACACTTAAGGAAAAATGGGGAAAATGTGGGTGAGCGTAAGGATCAAAAAGAAATTTATAATGGACTTATTAACCAGTGTTTGTCAACTCTACCTAGCAAAATTTTCCCATATAATAAATGTGTGAAAGTCTTTAGTAAATCATCAAATCTAAACAGACAAAGCATAAGACATACTGCAGAGAAACTTTTCAAATGTGTACAATGTGGCAAAGTCTTTAAATCTCACTCAGGCCTTTCTTATCATAAGATAATTCATACTGAAGAGAAACTCTACATATGTGAGGAATGTGGTAAAACCTTTAAATGGTTCTCATACCTTACTAAACATAAGAGGATTCACACTGGAGAGAAACCATACAAATGTGAAGAATGTGGCAAAGCTTTTAACTGGTGCTCGACCCTTACTAAACATAAGAGAATCCATACTGGTGAGAAACCCTACAAATGTGAAGAATGTGGAAAAGCCTTTCACTGGTGTTCGCCCTTTGTTAGACATAAGAAAATTCATACTGGAGAAAAACCCTATACATGTGAAGAATGTGGCAGAGCGTTTAACCGGCACTCACATCTCACCAAACATAAGACGATTCACACTGGAAAGAAACCCTACAAATGTAAAGAATGTGGGAAAGCCTTCAACCACTGCTCCCTACTTACTGTACATGAGAGAACCCACACGGGAGAGAAACCCTATAAATGTGAAGAATGTGGCAAAGCTTTTAACTCATCATCAATTCTTACTGAACATAAGGTAATTCACAGCGGAGAGAAACCCTACAAATGTGAAAAATGCGACAAAGTCTTTAAGAGGTTCTCATACCTTACTAAACACAAGAGAATTCACACTGGAGAGAAACCCTACAAATGTGAAGAATGTGGCAAAGCTTTTAACTGGTCCTCAATCCTTACTGAACATAAGAGAATTCATACTGGAGAGAAACCCTACAACTGTGAAGAATGTGGCAAAGCCTTTAATCGGTGCTCACACCTTACTAGACATAAGAAAATTCATACTGCCATCAACCGCTATAAATGTGAAGAATGTGGCAAAGCTTTTAAACGATGCTCACATCTTAATGAACATAAGAGAGTTCAAAGAAGAGAGAAATCCTGCAAGTATAAAAAATGTGGGGAAGCTTTTACTTACTGCTCAAACCTTACTACATAAGAATTTTTACTATTGAGAAATCCTACAAATGTAAGGAATGTGGCAAAGTCCTTAAATCTTGCTCAAGCCATTGAAGTCACAAGATAATTCGTACTGGAGAGAAACACTACAAATGTGAAGAATATGGGAACGTCTTCAACCATTGCTCACACTTTATTGCACATAAGAAAATTCATACTGAGAAAAATTCTGATTTTAAAGAATGTGGCAAAGTGTTTAATAACTGCTATGAGCTTACTCATGAGAGGTTTTATGCTAGATAAAAGCAATAAAAGTGTAATGATACACATTACATTTATCTGTGGAAAGATGTCACCAAATAAAAGCCTTAGAGTGCACAAGGTGTAATGATAGTGATACATTTGTACGTGGAAAGGCTTCAAAAATATAAGCCTTAGAGTAACACAAGTGTTTTTATCCTGAAGAAAAACATTACAAATATAAAGATTGGTGTAATACTTTTACTTATGTTACAGATTTTGTTGTACATGGGAGAATTTATGCTGAAGGGTAACCCTCTAACAGTTGCTCAAATTTTATTCAATTTTAGAGAATTTATATTGGAAAGAAACCCTACAACTGTAATGAATATGAAAAAAATGTTTTAAAAGTACACCTTAGAAAACGCTAGAGAGTTTATATGAAAGCATTTAACAGATGCAATAAATATAAAAAATTAATCAAAAATCAAGTCTGAATGAACGTCAGAAGATTCACAGTAGAAACCACTAAGATGCTAACACTTTCAATGTTATTCGAAATCAGGGTATTGATTACAAAGAATAATTCAAAGTTAACATAATTTAGTTAGGCTAAACAGGAATAAGAGACTAATATTTTAGAACTTACAATTGTATTCAAAGTACATTGTTTTTTGCATTGAAAGAGTTTTAGATTTTTACAAAGGCAAATTTTGATGTAATTCAACTCTCAAATTACTTGATGCTGTGTCTTTATTCCTAGTGTCTGTGTAAAAGCATGTGGTCAATTTCTGCTGCTCGGAGCTTTGAGAGGTTCTATATTAGGATATCATTTATATGCTTTTCAACAGAAGATTGAGGACACTGAAATGTGAGGTGTGTGAAGAAAGTCTACACGGAGAAGCTTTTGTGGTTGACTTATAAAACTGTTGTAAGTGCTGCATGAGATAGATGTTCAGAGTAATACTCTTGTGCATTATTCAAATTTTAGTAAATTGTTTTACCGATTGTACATTAATATAGTAGATTTTGTAATGCTTTTCTTAGACTGTGTGAACTTCATTTGTTTTAATAAAACAAAATTGTTTTAATATGTTAAGACAGTTGTGCATTGAATTAGGTGTTATCCTGCCACCAACATTAGCCTATTTTACCTTACTCAAGTTTTTAGGTAACAGACAGTAACAACATACTGTTCAGTAATATGGTGGCATGGCGTCTCTAGTGATTCTTATCCTTAGTGACTTTAAACTTCAAATACGTTGGAGAATACTGTTTCCATAGGTTACATTTTTATTATTTTTCTTCGAACTATGGAGTCATTAAGATGGTTATTTTGAAAATTACACAGGCATATAATCAAAAGCCATGTATTTCTGAATCTTAAATGAGTATGTAGAAGATGTTATCTTACATTTTTCTTTGAACATGCAACCTCTATGGCCTTCCCAACACACATAGACTCTTAAGTTTTCACTTACGTGGAAGTTTAATATATAAATGTGTTACTCTAAAGATAAAATGTAAGAGAATTATGAAGCAAGTAATTGTATTTGAATGTGGATGTGTACCTATTTTGAGAAGAAAGAAAATGTGTTAGAACAAATTGGTAATTTTTAAAGTGTTGATAAGTTACTACCAAACTAAAAACCTCAAAGAATTTCAAAGCAAATGTTTTTCCCATTTGTATTGAATTCATTTTTCCAAAACCTTATGGTTCCTAGTTCAGAATCTCCTTATGTAAGTCCAGGTTTTACTTACCTGATATTGATAGTAGACCTAATGCATCAAAATTTATAAAGTATTCTTTATATAATCTGCTCCAGAATTATTGGAATAATTTTTACAAAATTTAATGGTGCTTGCAAAACAATTTAAACATGTAATTCCATGGTAAGTGTATTGTAACATTTTATTTAGTACATTTTTTTTCAGTTGGAGAACTCTAAGCCAATTTTTCCTTTGTTGTTCTTTTAATTTTTATAATTAACATCATTGAGTTTATTGATCTTATTGTGTTAATTTCTTTAGGTGAACACTAGGGAGATGTCATCAGTCATGGTAGTGTTTATTTCTTTTTTTACCAACTCCTGTGTCTCTACATCAGACGTGGTGTTCTTTAGCCATAAATGAAGTGAACAAACACAGAAAATCACTACCTGGGTGAAAGCACTACCATGTGTTATACACACTGCATAATTAGTGTTCCAGTTGGAGTGAGTTGGTGGCTCCAGAGATACAAAAATATTCAGATGAAATACTAGCATTGATTCTTCATGTCTGGAGAGGGCATCTTACCCAGGCTACACAACTGACTCTAAATTTAGAGGAATTTGCTGCTTTCATTTTCTAATATCTTCAGGTTTCATTTATGTCCTCCCAGTTATGTATGCATCAGGGACTTCACCGTTTTTTGTTTTGTTTTGTTTTTGTTTTGTTTGGTTTTGTTTCGTGAGATGGAGTCTCTGTCGCCCAGACTGAGTGCAGTGGCGCGATCTCAGCTCACTGCAAGCTCTGCCTCCAGGTTCACGCCATTCTTCTGCCTCAGCCTCCAATTAGCTGGGACTACAGGTGCCACCACTACCACGCTGGCCTAATTTTTGTATTTTTAGTAGACACGGGGTTTTCACTGTGTTAGCCAGTGTGGTCTCAATCTCTGACTCGTGATCCACCGCGCATTGGCCCCAAGTGCTGGATTACAGGCGTGAGCCACTGCGCCCACCCTCCCTCACCTTTTTATCTGAGTCACGGTTGCAGCTTTCTCACTGTCTCCTACCCCATGTTATTTTACACACTACTTTGTAAGGTCCATGAGAAGTTTGGAGTGCTTATTGTGGAAAAAAAAAAAAAAAAAAAATTTAACTTAAAATTTGTATCATTTACAAGTTGTAAATGCAGTCTTTGGTTTTGAATTTTGATATTTTTTGAGACAGAGTTTTGCTTTTGTTGCCCGGCTGGAGTGCAATGGCACAACCTCGGCTCCACTGCAACCTCCATCTCGCCAGGTTCAAACGATTATACTGCCTCAGCTTCCCAAGTAGCTGGGATTACAGGTGCCCAACACCACAGCTGACCAATTTTTTTTGTAGTTTTAGTAGAGACGGAGTTTCACCATGTTGGCAAGGCTGGTCTCCAACTCTTGACCTCAGGTGAGCCGCCACACTGGGCCTAAATGCAGTCTTTGGATTAATTAACTGAAGTAAGTTGGATTCACTCTCTACAGGCCAGAGGATTTAATCAGTCAGTTAGCATTGTTCACCTTTGTAAAAGAAAAATGTTACTCTATTCTATCACAGAGTGTGTACAATATACAATTAGGTAGAACAGGTAAATCATTAATAGCATTGTGCCATATATTGTAAGCACCATATAAAGAAACACATCAGAATTGGAAATCTCTTAAGAGAAAATATATCTTAGAAATAAATTCTTAAGAAGTGTCAATAGTAGTTGATGAATGTTTAATTTAACTTTTTATGAAATACTTATAGCACAACTTACATTTCCATGCAGAATCTTCTGTTTATGAGTGTGTGTGTTAAGTGGAACAATAATAGAATGACTACTCTGGATTTTTAAAAAAGCCTAAGAACCAGGAGAGCAGGCCATGAGGACATCACCATTTAATATTGAGTGGACATCCTGATCATATTTACTGTGTTTAACTCTGCAGATAGAATTGAGGCCCTGTGATTATCTGCTTTCTTCATTGAATTATGCCAAGCAGCCACAAAAGGGACTGCACAAGTTAAGTGCTTAATATGCGTGTAATTAGTGAATGGAGCCTAACCACAGCCTTCCAAAATGTCTAAGTGGGCCTGAGGCCCGTCTCTCAGCACCCAGGGACCTCTGTTATGTGAAGGACAAAGACCAGCTAAAAGAATTGCCTTGGGAGACCGAGGCAGGCAGATCGTGAGGTCAGGAGATCAAGACCATCCTGGTCACATGGTAAAACCCCATCTATACTAAAATACAAACAGAAATTACCCAGGGTGTTGGCACATGCTGTAGTCCCAGCTACTCGGGAGGCTGAGGAAGGGGAATCGCTTGAACCTAGGAGTCAGAAATTGCAGTGAGCCAGGATCACACCACTGCACTGCAGCCTGAGCAACAAGAGACTCCACCTCAAAAAATAAAAAAGAAATACTAACTATAGTAATAACAACTCTTCTGTTCATGAGTGGCCCTTCAGATGGTGACATTAGAGTTCCCAACATAAGGAAAGTGGCTCTAAATCCCCTGCACAACTCCCTTTTTTGTACTGACCCCACGATGTAAAATTCTGCCATTTATTCATTTGCCACAAACAAACTTCCTTTACAACGGCAAAAAGCATTGCTTCAGATTGTGACTGTTTTTGGACATAGGGTCATTAAAGAGGTAATTAAGATTGTGAGTTCACTGGCATGGGACCTAATTAAATATAGCGGGTTCTTATAAGAAGAGATAGTAAAGACAGAAGCACAAGAGAAGATTCTGTTAATACAGAGTTAGAAGACAACCATCTACAAGCCAAGGAGAGAGCGTTGGAGAAGTCATTCCACCGACATCTGTTAGATTTCTAATTTCCAGAACTGCAAGAAACTAAATTGCTGTTTTTAAGGCCCTTCATTCTGTGATGCTGTGTTATGGCAGTCCTAGCAAACTATGACAGCCTATTAGTACACACACACAATATTCCCTGCAGTATGACTGACATGGAAGGAGGATGGTATACCATGCAGCATCAGCATTGAAAGACTAAACCACTGTGGGGAAGAGCCTCCCTTGTGGCATATTATGAAGACGTGTGCGTGCACACCTCCTTCCCTGATGGGATACGGGGATGAGTTCTTGAGATGACACATTGCAGGAACATGCATAAGGTAGTCTCACCTCCTTTTTTTGTACAACACATTCCCCCACTTTTGCGTAAAAACTTCCCTAGTAATAGTGTTGGCTTTTAAGTTTTGGAGAAGGTCTGTAGGACTGAAGCTGCATGCCACAGGAGATGCCTGGAGGGGGGAGTTAAAACAATACAAACGATAGCAACATGCAAAAATGCTCATGGCCTAATGTAAAGTGAAAATAAGATGAAAGCCTTTTCTCTAATATTTCTACAAGATTGTGAACAGAGACTTCCCACCTAACCAGGTTGCCACTGGGACGAACGAAGGCCAGACTGTATTGAAACAGGACTGTGGGTCACTCCTGGGAAGGCCCTAGGACAGAGGTCAGAGAGTTTCCATATTTCAATCTGGGACCTGGGCCTGTCCTGGTCTTCTCAGGTTCCTATCTCTCTAGAGACCCCTAGGTGCCTGCTCTCGCCACAGCCCAGTGCTGACTAAGGTTGGTGGTGTAGGGCACCCAGTCTTTTTCCAAAGAGATGGAGGAGTTAGACTCATCAAACAGCTCCTCATTAATCTGAATGTGACTCTAAAGAGTGCCCAGCAGCCAAGCTGAAAAAGATGAATTGCCCGCCTTGTTTTTACCATAGATGACACCGCTATTGAAATTTTGCTCTTCAGATCAGGCACATAGGAACATCTGCATAGATCTTCAGCCAGGAAGGGAACCAGAGGACAGCTTAAAGTCGTTGGGACTTCACATGTGGAGTAGCGACAAACTGTTGGTCATTTGCCGGCCAGGTGCGGACCTGAGTGTGAACCATGGAGCAGACCCCACAAGAGTTTCAACTTTTGACAACCCTGATTCGTGTCCAGGAAGAATGCCGCTCACCTCTCAGCCCCCTGCGAAGACATGGCAGATGGGGACAATGTGGGGGCGTGGTGTCTAGATGAAATGGACGAAGAGAGGAGACTGCCTAGATGTGTGTCTGGGTTGCCCTGTTATCTGCGGTCCGGTGCGCCTCATCTAGAAATGAGGGCTGAGGTGGACATCTGGCATTTTCAGAGACAGCCTTTTAGTTTGAGCCTTTATGGTAAGCTAAAACTCAGAAATGTAAGGATGCCATGGAAGAGCATGTTACTCTCTTGAGCATCTCTCACCAAAGGAGCTGGATACAGAGTTGTCTCTAGGAGGTGGGGTCCTGGTTTTCTAAGTTCTGTTGGGTTCCATCACCAAGGAAGTATGTTAGTCTCTTCAAGGTTCCATCCACTGGCCCCTTCTTTCTATAAGACCTACCCAAAGGCCCCACCAGGCTACTGATTGATCAGCCTCCTCTCCCATGTCAGGCCTCTATTTGTATGTAATTGTGAAATCACACCTTCCCCTTAATTTCCTGGGAAGACCTAAATGCAGCCTGGGCTTTAGAATAGAAGAGACAGCTGGGTCAGAACCTTGTTTATCTTACCATATCTGTGACCCAGTAAAAGCCATTGTCTATTTTGGGGCTTCCCCAGCCTCCTACCATGCACAGTGGGGATTATGCTAGCATCTACCTCCTAGGGAATTTTTCAAGTGTATATGAGACAAAACTTATAAAAATCATGGTGTAGGCTGGGTGCAGTGGCTCAAGCCTGTAATCCCAGCAATTGGGAGGCCTAGGTCGGTAGGTCACTTGAAGCCAGGAGTTCGAGACCAGCCTGTCCAACATGGTGAAACCCCATCTCTACTAAAAATACAATAACCGGGTGTGGGGTTGTGTACTTGTAATTTCAGCTACTCAGGAAGCTGAGGAAGGAGAATCACTGGAGCCCAGGAGACAGAGGTTGCAGTGAGCCAAGATCATGCCATTGCACTCCAGCCTGGGCAACAGAGTGAGACTCCATCTCAAAAATAAAAAAAAGAAAAGAAAAAGAAACATGCAATGACAATTTGGGCCCTGACATCACCAAGCTTATTCTTCACAGGCTTCAGTTGACCATATTGGTTCCAATCAACTTCAGCTTATTTTTAAAAATCTCTTAAGCAAAGGAAATTTCAGTGTTTCAACAAGTTGTTTCTTATTTGTCATTCAGATAACCCAACTTATTTTAGTTGTAGGTTTTGT